TTTTCATGAATTTGAAAATTAGCAATTGAAATCATATAAGGTCCTCATGCTTAAAGTGAAAATAATCTTAAAAATATAATGAATAAAAAAAATGTGCCATAAGATGCCTCTACCTTATTAACAAAGGCAAAAGGAGGCTCCTCAGCCTTAGTTACAACTAAAGAAGATTGATTATCAACTAGATATTATCAGCTTTGCATCTAAGAGGTCATTTCATTTTAATAAGTGTTGTTGTAAGTAAGTGAAACAAGACAAAGTTGGTCCAAATCCAACAAGGTCAATGGATATAAGACCCTAAAGCTGCAACACCTATAAAGATTTGATAAATATATTGATCAAATTCCAAAATTTGTATTTGAATATCACTTAATAGAGAAACATTGTCAAAAATATACCTAGATAGTATGATTTGATGGGTAAATAACCATTGTATAAGCCACATCAAATTTGTAAATAAATTAAATCAAAGATCATCGAAATCTATTTTTTTCAATATATAATGATCCTAACAAGATCATCTAGTAATTAATAAATTAATATAGCATAATATCTTCAAATCTTCATAACTAATAAAGGTGATATTTCTAAGAAGTTAGCTAAAATAATCAAAAATAATAAAAGATTGTAATTTCTTAGGATACAAAACTAACAACTTGAGGATTTCATATTGCACTATTTGATTAGGTGTAATTTTGGTATACACATGAATTTACCATCTAATGATGGATCTAGCCTCTAACACTATTGCCAAAGTAATATTAATGCTTATAAAGAGTTCCAAAAAGGTAATATTTTCATTTAGTAGATGCTAATGAATAGGATGAATAAGTGACAAGGAATGATTTGATATTTCCAAAAATTTCAATGAAGACATAATTTCTTAGCATTGGCAAGATAGTTTTGCATGTATTTTCTATGGAAGAGATAGATCCTTATAGTATCTTACATAAACTTTGAATAATAGTAAAATATGTATTTATACAAAATTGGACATAAATGCTAATGTCTCTTTTAATAAAATTAGTCTAAAAGGTAAGTTTGATATTAATGCACTACAACCAAATAGGATTTTTGCTAACATAATTATGATAGTTGCTTCTAATATGATGGAATTAAATTCTTTCTTTCTATCATAAATAGACCATCTTAGTTTAATCTATTTTTTTTTAATCCAATAATTTAAATCAAAACAAAAATAATGAAGTACTTATTGGCCAATTAAAATATTATAGTTGTGGCATTAATTACTGGAAATTTTAGAAATAAGTCTAAATGAAGTGGTTTAAGTTAAGTATAAAAAGTCCATTGCAATGGATGCTTGTTATAGTTGATAGCTTGGTTTGTGCTTCCTATTAAAGTGAAAATGGTGAAATGATAAGGCTCTAAGTTTATAGTAGTGAGATTTAATTTTTGAATAAGTCACTTATCAATGATGATTGATTGAATACTAAAATCTATCATAACTTATAAAAAATTAGTATAAGTAGTATTACTATGAATAAAGGTAATAACAACCATGTTATTATCATTGACTAGTTGTACCTAATGTTCTTGAATAGAACTAGTTGCAATATCTAAAAAATATGCTATCCTTATAGCCAATGGCACTTCAAATAAAAAACTTGTGTTTATTTTTTTTCTTGATATTTATTAAATATAGGAATGGTTTTAATTATGATCTTTTCTTAAAACTTAATCGAATCTTCTTCCATTGAAAGCTCCACGATTACTTAAGCTACTTTTAAAGATAGCATATGCATTTTATCTTCCAATATCTTACTAGCTTGCTAAAAAATCCATGTTGATTTAAATTTTAGAGCCAATAGATTAACACTAAAAAAAAATGCATATTTAATATATTATAGGCTAATATATGTGCCATGTCTTTAATAGTAGTATCTCCATCTTGTATTGAAGTTAAAATAGAAGTCCTTGCTACAAAACTAACATCTATAAGGCCAAGTAATAATGGAAATTAAATATAAATATTAATATTTCTACGATTTCTTTAATAATCATTAAAGATTTTAGATACCTTACTTATGAATGGTGCCATATTTTTGACAATTATTTAAGTATATGTGGCATCTGCAACTATCTAATGAGGCCACATGATTGATTTTTTTCTTCTAGTTGGATAATTTTAGCTTCTAAGGCTCTTTTCTTATTTTAAATAAGCCACTTATTTGGATGTAAAATGAAATAATTATTTTAAAAATTATTAAATTTATTAAAATAAGATTATTTTAACTATATTTTTTTAGAAATTCTAATAATATAGTCTTTTTAAATTAAAATTTTACCAAATTACTTGTGGTAATTGCAACTTTCTTGGACCTAGATACATTTTTCATCCGAACAACTATGTCAATAGCATCATAGTGACAAAAGGCCCTATTACATTTGCTAACTTCAATAAATGCTTGAATTAGCATTATCTTGCCATCATAGTTGAAAATAATTCTTAGTGTGGCTAGTCTAAAAGTTTCTTATCAATCTTAGATAAGATTGTTGCTACTTTTTTTTTTTTTTTTTTTTTTTTTATTCTTTTTAAAGATGTTTTAATTTTTAGTTTTAATTTATCTTTTATTTTTATTATAAGTATTATATTAGAAATAATACCTTCTTTACAAGCTAAAATAAGCCAATAAATAAAAAGATCTTGTTGGCCATCAATCCGACTTTATTCCTCTAATATACTTTTTAACATAGACTAATACAACATAATATGAAATAACAATGAAAAACCTTTTAAAAAATTACTTTTAATTAAAAAAAAGTATCAAAGATAAAAATCAAAAATCTATACTAGATCTTCATTTCAAATAATACAAAAACAAACTTCACAAGTGAATTAAGCAACCAACATCCACTTGTGGTTAATGGCCACAAATCACAAAATTTGTGATAATAAAAGAAAATTGCAACAAATTAAAATGTAGAGAAAAAAATAAAAAATTTACTTAGAAAGAAAATAGCATTAAATAAATGCCACTTCAATGTTTGAAATAATCTCCACTTTACAACCAAGAATATCATTGGCTTTTTTGGATATCTTTTACACGAAAATAGCTGAAAATATTTAAGTTTAAAATTTATATGCTTTTAGAATGAACTTCCAAATTTCATACTAAAAATAATGATAGATAAATTTTATTTATTTATTTATTTATTTAATTTTGAATCTTATTACCATACGTAATTATCTATGATCATTGTCGCCTCTATTATTGCAAATTCTTATCATTGTATAATCCTATGACCATATTAGCTCTATTTATCATACAAATCTAAGGACCACTCTTGTCTCTTATAATAGTATTGTGATTCTAAAGTTACATTGGCTCTTGACACTACGTGACATAAGATAAAATTGTGATTGCTACCAATTCTCATTGTCTATTGTTGTTGTGAGATTTTTTTTTTCTATGCTCAATTTGCTTTTATTTTTACCACACAACAAAAATCACAACATCTTATAATACCAATCCAAACAATGCTATATCAACTTAAATAAAATCATGCACCAAAAATAATCCCGCAACAAATAAAGAAATAAAAAATTAAGACAAAAAAATAAAACATACATCAATTGTAAACTACATCTTCTATAAAAAAAAACATTCCAACCCTCTTATGTTGTAAGCTCTTCTCAATGCCTTATTATTTTGCACATTATATCCTACAGCACCACAATTTGCAATCAACCAATGTTGCAACTCTCCTATGCTAAGGACTCTTATAATCTAAATCCTAATTCAAAGTTACCTTACATTATAATTTAAGTGCTGTATAGCTTCTAATTTTGGTTGATTATATATAACAACCCTCTAAACACGAATATTTTCTAAATTCTATTATTCTTATATAATAATTTAACAATAGAAGTAAAAATACATAGACCATAAAAGTAGTTGTATTAAGAACATAGAAATCTATTGTAATAAAATCCAACAATAAAAACAATCTAGAAAAATTGATTTTTTTTTTTTTTTTTTTTTTTTTTTTCCAAAAATCTAATTTATTTGAATCTAATAAATTATAAGTTGAAAAGAATGACATTTTTGTCAAGTAAAAGATCATAAATCTATGCACAACTAAGTCAAGTTATCTCTCACATGACAAAGGAGGAATCCAAAAGTGCAAGTATGAATAGAGAAAATCCTAAAGCTTTTTAAATGATTGAATTACCATAGCTAAGCAAACCCGTACAACATTAGTTTTTTTCTTTTTAAAAATCACTCAAAAGATATGATTTGACAAATGTATCAAGTTAAAAGAGTTTCTCTATTTAATTTTTTAAACTTTAATTGATACTAATAAAATTAAGTATTGGAATAAGTTGAATAGATAGAAACTAGTAAATCAAATTAAATTAGAAAAAACCAAAAGATTATGGCATTTCACACCACATCATGTCACAAAATGGATAATAATGAAGAGTTTGAGATTGAAGAAGTTTTAAACTTAAGACACTATTGAAATAGGTTGGAATATCTTACACATTAGCATGGATATGATATTAATTAACACACATAGAAGCCAACCAAGAATCTTGCAAATGCAATAAAGAAGGTTGATGTTTTTTTATCAACAACATCTATCATATCAAGATGAAGAGTCAAGAAATTTCTTGCTACAAAAGAAACAAGGTCCAATAAAGATTTTATTTTATCTTCTATATTTGTTTGTAGCTTTTTATATATTTATGGTATAAATTAAAATAAAGCTAAATTAATTGGAAGTTTATTCTGGTTCATAATAATTAAATTATTTATATTATATTATGAATTATTTTTATTTATTAAATATTAATTAAATCACTCTTTAACTTCTCTAAATCAATTCCTTTAAACAAAAAAAACCATCACCATAAATTGTACTTGTAATACAAGTCATACAAAAATTCATACATAAATAATATTTTTTTATTTTATTTTTATTTTTTGTTTTAACATGATTCATCTATTAACAAAACTTCATCTAAAAATGAAAATTCATCCTTCAATAATAAATCATTTGCAAATAACTTTTTATTTACAAATGACTATTCATCTTCAACAGAATTCATTTAAAGTTAATTCATCCAATATCCTAACACCATTGAACCCTAATTACTTGCCTAAACCTAAATTCATCCTATAAACTTTGTATTCACCTTACAATCTCCCAACTAATAATGGACGTAGAAGATGAACCTTTGACTCCACAAGGCGCTCCTTCCACTCCAACGATAGCTTCGAGAACTACTTTCCTCTCCATTCCAGATGAGAACTCCCCCAACAAGTTTGCTCTCTGGCTTTGTTTGGTAATGATCCGATCCTTCAAGTGTTGCCTAGAAGAGTTGATGAATGGTGGTTCACAATGGCAAGATCTGCAGCTTGACGTCACTGTAAGAGCTACGTTAATTCTAATTTATAAACTAGTTGCTTCCTTTCAGCCACATCCACATGTTGCTCTGGGATGAGTAGCCGCAGCAATGTAGGGTGTGTGAAGTCTGTTTTCTGCAGAACTACTCAATACCGCTGAACAGCAGCAATTGTCGATGAAGAACCGTTGATATCCTCTTGGGAGAACCTTCACAGCTTGTACACAATGCCGCGGCCTCTTGATTCCTTTCGCAAGCACAACCAGCCTTCTTCGAGGAGAACTCACCACCGCCAATCCTTGCTCTAGCAACAATATAAGGATGCATGAACCACTTGAACTTAAGCTTTTGAGAAGGACAGCGATAGCCAGATGAAGCAAAGGCTGCAACAATGACACAGCTAAGCCCAAAAGTCCACCACGCAGGGACTTGTTCCGCCAATGTCGAACCGAAATTCGCCACTCGAGAAAACAGCCGCCTTCCACACAACAAACCGAGCGCACGGAATCCTTATGCCTCAGATCAAAGAGGAAAAAGACACTGCAAACAACTCGTAGGAGAGAGGATAAGCGACAAGGAATTTCTAGCTCACCGAGCTGGGCTAATAATCAACAACAACAACAAAAAAAAAAAAAAAAACTTACGAGAACCGAGCAGCAGTTCCCATATAATAATTTTAGGAGGACAACCGCGCTTTCTCTGCGGAATCACCACAAAATTAGATGACCAATAGCCCACCAAATTCAGCCACCGATCGGAGGTCGTCGCATGAATCCAGGAGGAGAGCAACCACTTCCCGCTTACAACCGCGCTGCCGCTCGTCAACCCATTGTAAAGGAAGGCAAAACACAAAAACCATCTACTGTCGCTGTTCCAGCCACAGTAACAAATGCCGCAGCATCTCACAGAGAACGGATTGCAAAAAGCATAAGAAGACAACGACGCCAAAATGCTCCGTGTCGCAGGAACAACACTCAACACGTCGATGCGAGGATGGAACTATAATTTGCCGACCTCGTTGCCGCCTTTACCATCGCGCAACCAACGCCGTTGCACGCAAGGAAAACAAAAACACACTGCAAAATTTTTGCACCTCAAGGATCTAGAATTCTGAAACAACATCAACAATGGAACCATGCCCCGCAACTTCAACGCAATCAACAGAGGAGAGACAGTCGCGCAAAGCAGTGCTAGACATGCCGTTGCATCGCAAAACTAGGATGCCAGAGAACTCAAGAACGAGAAAAGCATACGTCCCCGCACCGCCGCATGGCAACTCCAACACCAAGCTTGCTCCAGCCGTTCATGATCGACGCTATCGACATCGAGCGGCATAGCACCACTAGCGCCACTTTGCAATGCGAATCGTTGAACGAAAAAAGAGTGGAACACCTCCACTGCACTTGACCTTTCTGTAAAACACAGCCGCTCCACCATATCGGGGAAGACGTCGACGACAAGCGGCCTACCTGCAACGCAACTGAACCGCCGCAAATATCGCAACACCAATGCAACACCACGCCAGAGAACGCCAACGCCGCAAGGATCCGGAAACAATAGCCCCGACCGCCGGACTGCACACGAGTAGACAAAAAAACCAGGAAAAAACAGCGGTTCCAGCCGCAGATCACACTGGAAAATGCGAAGCCCTCGTACACAGGAAAAAATAAAATAAAATAAAAATCAAATCAAATCAATGCGAGAGAGAAATGAGGCCAGGGGCCTCCAAACTACGCCGGACCCCGGCAGCTCTTCCCCGAGAAATCTGGCAACTGTCGAATTCTAGTAAATCCGGGCCAGCAGTCAATAAATTTTTGTTTTTTGTTTTTTATTTTGTTTTTGTTTTTTTTCCTTTCTCTTCTTCTTGTTTCTTTTTCTACTTGTTTGTTTGTTTGTTTGTTTGTTTTGTTTTGTTTTTTTTTTGTTTTTTTGTTTTGTTTTGTTTTGTTTTTTTTTTTTTTGTTTTGTTTTGTTTTGTTTTTTTTCCCTCTCTATTGTATATTTTTTCTTTTCTATTCATTTTTTTTTTATTCTATTATATTTTACTTATTAAGGATTACTAACTTATTCTTTTTGAATTGGTTCAAACCGAGAATTTATCTTTAGCTTCCTAATCTAATTGAAAATTCAACAAAAACCAAAACTTCAAGATCAATTCTTAATATTAGCTAAATTTAAGAAATATATATTCTCTTTGAAATCCTTTTCAAAAATTCTATATAAGACTACATTTATACAACTAACATTCTAATTTTCTATTTGTCTAAGAATTTCTACATTTATTCTCTATATATTATGATTTTAAGAACAATAAATGCATTTTTTGTACTAAATACTCAAATGAGTCAATTTTGTGACTCACATATAGTACTAAAGAGATGGAGAATTAATAACTTGCAAATTTATCTCAAGCACTATCATTTGTTGTATTACTAAACGAGGCATTGAGATTGTCACAACCTTCAAGATGACATAATAGAAATAAATAACCTCGAAAACAATATATTCTTCTTCAAATACAATTTGTTGCAAATTAGACTTCTTCAATATGTGATCATTGTTCCTTGTGGAACTTATCTTTAGATTAAATGGTAATGTCAAAAAAAATACATATTTAACTAGATTAAAGGAGTTAAATAGAAGTTAATAGAAGTAAGTAAATTTAATGATATCTTATGAAAAATCTTCTTAGAAACAATATAGACACGGATTTGGCTTTATCTATTTGTATATGTGATTGGTTGGTTGAAAATTTGGCCAACAAGTTGGCCATGTGTTGTACATATTGATGACTTGGGATAAAAGTTGGCCATGTGGTGTATATGTATGAAACTTATTTTACAAGTTAGATATATGTACTACAAGTTGGGCACATGTTAGAAATCCCATAGAACTTTGCCACATAGTTAGATAGTATATATAGAGGCAAAAATAAAGCCTTTTTTACTATTATTAATGTCTTTCTTGTTGTTAGTCTTATTTTGAATTTTATAATAGTTAATTTATATTAAATAATAATTATTATTTATAAATTTATTAATTTTTTAAAGATTTTTTTATACATTTTTTTTAAGATTGAAATAAGTTGGTCACATATTAGATGAACTACAGAATATTGCTATATAACTTCTTACTTAGATAGTATATATAAACATTTTTTTTTACACCTTTCTTATTCTTAGTTGTTTTTTGTAGACCTTCTAATCTTCTTGTATTTGATAACAGCCATTCTAGTTTCTATCTTATATCTATCTTTAATTTGTCTACTTTTTCATTTTAAGTATTATAAGAGTATATTATTTTTTAGATTTTTGTTCTTATTCATGTTCTTGACATTATGGCATTAACAAAAACTTCTATTGATACCACTATCCATTACAAAATTGACATATTTGATAGTAAAAGATCAATGTAATGTCACTTTATATAAAGTCTTGTTCTAAAATACATTGACATTTGGATGTAAGAAAAAAATATATCTTTAGTACAAAAAAATTCTTATAATCTAAAAGATAAAGTACTTAAAAAAATTATTTTTAATAACCTTAATTTCCTTTAAAATCCTAAATTTTTTAAATGTGAAAGCCTATCAAATCTCAAATCTTAAATTCTTAAATTCTAAAAAACATTTCAATAAACTCTAAGCAAATCTTTAAAATATTTAGTCCTCAAAATCCTAAAAAAATCACAAAATATCCTAAATTATCTCTAAATTCTAAAAACCTTTAAATAAATCTAAAATATTCAAAAAATATATTTAAAAGAATTTTTATCCTAATCTTAATATAAAAAAGAAATACAAAAATATCTTTAATTTTTAAAAACAAATAACAGATATAATAATCTTGATAATATAGTTTTATAAGAATGACTAAATACTTAGTAATAATATGATAAATCAATAACACATTCAAAAACTATTTAAAATTATTATTTGAAAATATTTATAAAATCCCAAATAATAATTAAATGAAAGGTGGTCATTCCATTCAAATATAAGATGCTCATGGATCTATCAAATTTTTTTTAGATAAAATTAAATTAAAATTTATCGAAAATATTACTTGCTAAAATTAATATATTTTTAGCATAAAAATATTTAGAAACCAATAGTTTTATATAAAACAAATTCTAAAAAAAATATGATCTCATAATTATCTATATTACTTGAATAAGTAAGAATAAATAAAATTAAGTAAAATATATAATAATATATAGAAATAGATCAAGTAGATAAATTTTGCTACTAAAAAGTATTGATGAAATTCCTAAAATATAGATTAGATCTATACATTTACAATATAGTTTTAAAAAAATTCTTAGATTTTTGTTTTTTTGTTTGTTTGTTTGTTTTTTTTTCTAGAAAGCTACACTAGAAGTGTTCTACAAACTTAGACACTTGATTTATAAGCTTCATGATTATTTGAAAGCTTTTATATAAAATCATATTATAATATAGTATTGTGATGTAACGTAATTATATGGTGAAAGATAAAAATACTAGTTTTATGATGGAAGAGTCTAATTAAAAAATATAATAATAAAACATAGGTAAAAGATAGGGAGGTAGTAAATACTTTTAGTATTAATACTATTTTTTTATAAAGAAGAATTTTACTTATTTTATATAGCCATAAATTAAGAAAAAAAAGTAGATTGGAAAAATAAATAATATAGGCATCTTTAGAAAGAAGTTAAGAGTAGTTTGTTGCAATAATTATATTAAAAAAGCAAGAATTGATATGCAAAGAGGACTAGTTGTGAATCAAGGTCAAAATCAGGTGCTAAATCACAAAATCTTGTACCAATGGCAATTCCAAGGTTCTTTTGTTAATTAAAAAGTAAGATTAAAGATCAAACTTTATGAAGGTTGTTTTAGTATTACTTTCAAGTGATTTTGATGGATATTTCATTTTAGAGATCTTTTTAAAGTGAAAGATGTTTTTGGTGATTTGTAGATTTTTAGAGAAATAAAAAGAGGCCAAAATATTTATAAAAAAATTAAATATTATAATAGATGTATAGTATAGTATATAGGTTTTATTGCAATATTTTATCAATGTAGAAGGTTTTTTTATTTTTTTAATTATTTAAATAATTAGGAAATAAATTTTTTTATAAAATAGAATCAATGAAAAAATATAATTAGAAATCATATCTTGTTATATTTTTCCTAATTAAAATTGATTAGAAGAAGTGAGGTTGTTAAAAAAAATATTTTTATGTACTATATTTTTGGAATTATAAAAATAAATATAACATCATAGATTTTATTTCACAACTAAATCATCAGTATATTTTCTTATTAGATTTTTTTTAATATGACAATATTTAAGTAGATTTTGATATATCATTATTTTTTAAAGATTACGCATAAATTTTAATGTATTAATTTTTTTGTAAATTAAATAATAGTAATAATAGTAAAAAATCATATGATTTTTATTTATATCTATTAATATAATAAAATTTAGTGATAGAAATTTTATAATTTATATAATGTTTTCTTCTATTATAAAATAAAGAAAAAATAATTCAATAAATAAATAGTTTGTATATATTATGGTTTTTTGTGGATTTATTTTTATTTAGATAGAAGATAACAACCAATATTGTTTTAGTGTAATACAATTAATAGATAAAGGATGTATGAAGACCAAAACATTTAAAAAGAAATTTGATAAAAGATAAATAGGTATTTTTTTAGAAGTTTGTAGTTGATAGATTAAACATAAGTAAAATTTTAATGTTTTATGTTATATTTTCTTTTTTTCCTCCCTTTTTTTATTTATTTTTTCTTAGTGGCATGACTTGACTATTCTTATGCTTTGTGTACGATATTAATTATAATCGCCTGGCTCTCTCAATTCCTTCTTACACTACTCTCATCAATTGTCCTATCCATCCCTCGCAGAGATTATGTTCATGAACCTGCTCCTGTCAATGTTCCAGTTTCGTTTTTTCTCCCGTTTTTTTATTAATCTCTTTTTTGGACAAAAAATAAATACCTTTCTTCGAATAAGCTTAGCCAGCAGCTTGTTCAGTTCCGACGTGCCCAGAGAATGTGGCTGATTGAGTGGTCACGGGCTTCCAGTAGCGTAGGTTCTGTGAAAATGCTAAGCAGTTCCGTGAATCTAGACGACTTGCTCTAAACTCATGTTTATTACAGAACACGATGAGATAGAACCAAGAGTTATTGAGATTGAACCAGTACACTGGAACCAGTACTGCTGTTACTTTGAACGCTCCTATCCACTACGAGGTGTCGAAGCAAATGGACAGCCTTTGAAGCATCCATGTTTTAGTAGGAAACATCAAAATTGAAAGCTGTTGGATATTTTTTGGAAGTGATTGTACCATAAAATGCACAGGCTCTACTTTTGCTTGTATGCAGAGGAACTTGGACTGAAAATTGATGCACAATATTAATTAGCCAAAAGAAGATCCGTATTGGATACTCTACATCTTGCACAATATAACCAACTGCTCACAACAAGTGTGGCACCAACCACAAGTAGCTTAGGATACAATTATTACAAATATAAACAATATGCACTTGGATGAGGGCCAGCCACCCATACGTGTGGTGCACATGGAAAGGGGATGAAGGCCAATAATAGGTAAGTGTGGATGTCTAGCATGCAAAGTGTTGAGAGCATTAAATGTAGTTGGCGCTCTCCAAAA